TGAGGAAATTCTGTCTTTTTTAAAGACAAAAATTTTTGAGGCGAAATACCCAAAAAGAAGTTTGTAAAAAATGAATCCGCCTCAACAATATAGAATTTTAAATATTTAATACAAAAGCACGCTGTACAATCTACGAAAGCTTAAAGGAACTTTACAACCACAAATATATCTGAATGCGTTAAATGCGAGCAATTCAATCAACTAAACCGACACTTCCGCTATATCCTGAAAACAACATTAGTGATTAGATTAAGATGCGTAATTGTTTTGCGATTTATCTGGGCTTTCGTGGGAATGTGCTCAAACAATACATAGTTCAAGGATGCTGTTGTTGTAGACAATTGAAACAAACCAACAGGAAGCAGTTGCGGAAAAGACAATTTTACAGTAAAATCCTCCCTTTATGATGCCAATATTCATAAGATCGCTTTGCGGCTAATGTTTTATTAAAAAGCCACTTGAAACTCGCCCCCTCAAATGGCAAAGTCCCCCAAGCATCGTTTACGTACGTAATTCAGTTCCAATTCATTAGTTCCCAAAGTCCCCATTAAGTGTTTTTTCAAGCCGATAATTTGTGTTCTTGTTCGTCCGGCCTCCACTCCCATCGTTAAGCGATGTAATTGAGATTCGTCGGTTTGTAATTTGATTATTGCGTTTGTTCATCCACTAATCCGATTAAATATTAATTAGGAAAAGTTTGCTCGAATTTGGGGGCGCAGATATCAGTTTATATACCGAGTGTATAACAGGGACGCAAAAATCCTCCTACACACTCCTCAGGGCGAAATTTGTTGCCCAAAAGGGGATAATTTGGGAGATACAAAATAGCAAAGGTTTAAAATGTAAACTTTTACTATAAAAGCGTCACAGTACGAGGCTAAGATGGTTTTTTGGGGCTAAATATTTTCATTTTCATTGTCAAATGTTGCAGTATTTTGCACACAATTGAACTTTATTTTGATGCGTTTTTTTTTAACTCTTTTACAAATAGAACTCTTCATTTGGGTTTTTTAGCTTCGTTGGGGCTCACTTGGGTTATCCTGAGATGGTTTGATAAGTACTTAATTAACCTCGAGCAATCGCCCTAGAAAACAATGAATGAATTGAAATTGAAAAAATTGAACTGAAAAAAGAACACGATCAATGAAAATTTTTGCCGCAGGCTCAGACTTGGATGACGAAGACGCTGAAGACAACCAAAACTCAGACGGTGGCCAAGCAGATGGACCAGGATCAGCCAAGGCCAGACGTCGAAGAACCGCATTTACCAGTGAGCAACTTCTGGAGCTGGAGCGAGAATTTCATGCGAAAAAGTACCTGTCCCTAACCGAGCGAAGTCAGATCGCATCTGCTCTTAGATTGAGTGAAGTTCAAGTGAGTGAGCGTCTGTGAAGCCAGACAGGGCAGGTTAATATTAAATTTCCATTGGTTTTCCCCCCCAGGTGAAAATCTGGTTCCAAAACAGACGAGCCAAATGGAAAAGAGTGAAAGCAGGCCTGGGAACCGGTCCCCATCAAGGTACCAAAGGATCGCAGCAAAAGAGCAAACTAGTGGTGCCGATTCCTGTGCATGTGAATCGATTTGCAGTGCGAAGCCAGCACCAACAGCTGGAAAGGGCTCTGGGTGATTTGGCTGGAAGGGTGCTGGCCAGTCATGCCGCTTTAAGGGTTGGCCTGGACCTGCACGGGTTCCATCCCCATCCCCATCCCCATCCCCATCATCAGTCACCGCCGCATTAGAATCTTCGGTTAGTGAGTGAGTGAGCGACTGTACATAATGTGAATACCGAAGGTGTGTGCACAACTGATGTGATCGATATTTTTAAAACGGAAAAATCAAATTATAGGAGCATTTCAAAATCGGTTGATCAATACATTTTCCGGTCAGTGCGAAAAGGTGTTTTAGATTGAGATCCGGCAATTTTGTGTGTGAAACAGATGAAGGGAGAGGTTTTTAGTCGGAATTTCAGGCCAATTTTATGATGCTTCTTTTAAAGCCAGTTGATCCCGAAGTTCCTTCATGTTTTAATGACCAAATTCCTATTAAATTGCAAAGCTTTCCGCGTTTCAACAACCCCTTGTTCTTTTGAACTAGAATTTCTTATTATTATTAACGCAATCAATAACGAAACATTTTAATATGCGGATGTGGTTTGACTGATTTGTCAGCAAGTGACTAGCAGCGAGTTGATTAATTATCCAAAAGTTTCCTGATGTCTTACTGCCAAAACCAGCAGCAACATTCTACATTTTCGGTCAAATAATTGAATTTTTAAAATCAATCTAACTTAAATTTGGGTGATTAATAACTTTCCAACTACAGCGCTACAAAAACTCTCGGCATTTGCCTTAAAGTGTTTCAATTTTAAAGGCCTTTTGATGTCTAATAGGTTTGAACATTCTGTATGTTTAAGTGAAGACAAGCAGCCACCGGGTGCTGAAAATGAGAAATTCTGGCATTAGACGTTTTAAGGCGGAAACTTGCATGAACTCCGTCGGATCAAGTTTTTCTAGTTTTGACTGGATCCAATGTGCAAAGTTCTAGAAACTTTCCCAATAATCAGCAAAAAAAGTTCATGCTAGATTTAAATGGCAAATTTGATTGAAGCTACGCAACCTCTCTCTTCTCTTTTAAACGAAAATCTAAATTTCTCTTAATTTTCAAAACAGAGTGTTTATAAACAATGTAAATAGAATATGGTGCAATAGTCATAGCGTGTAAGCATTTATCGTTTAAGGGCATTTTCTTAATGTAAACTCTCAGTCATATGCAAACAATCATTACTCCCTCAAACATGTAGATAAACAGTTCGCATTAGGATTCGTTGCTTGGAACCAACCAAAACCGAACCAGATGAATATTTTTCGAAGAATCACCCTTAGGTTGTTTGTACATTTGATGAATAATAGCAATAATTATTGTAGACTAATAAAGTTGCATTGACAGTGAAACTTTGGTGTTTTTGTGATTGGCGAACGCAAACGCACTTTGCGAAAAATCGGGCAAGCAGAGTGTGACGATTTTCCAAAAATTGCATTCAACTTTCTCTTAAGGCAGTTTTCCCCGATTTATTGGCCAATAAAATGGGTTTTTTGGCAAAAATTACCAGAAAATTGATTCATCTGAAAAAATTACAGCCAAAACCCATAAGCAAGGTTTAAGAGTGTGATGAGCTTTAAAGAAACACGCAGCAGAACCTGGCAAATAAGACCATTGGAAAGTTTTCCGGTGGTTTTTCGTAATTTGGGAGTTTTCAAAACCTGGAAGCTTTTCTTTAACAACAAGCTTCAACGATGAGAAATTACACGTTTTGACCCGACAAACGTGATTTTTTCCACCTGAAACCTTCAGAGTGCTGAGAAGAAATTGGTTCGGACGAAAAGCAGTTGTTTTGTGACTGCTTCCTTCACTTCGATGTTCTCAGAACCACTTAAAACAGCCACTTTTTGCCCGATTGTCTGAAGAACCGAATAATAAAAGAGCGAAGCCTGAAGGGAGAAATAATATTCCGTTTCATTGATTACAGCAGGACGTCACTGCCATAACAAAGATAACTGCGGTCACGTTTCGTCAAAATAAGTTTCCGGAGTAAACAGTGCAAAGTCGGGCACAATGGGCCCATTAGTCCAGCAATAACGTTAGCAAATTGTCCTGTGGGAGGAGCCGGCCCATATATCATGCATTTTGTCCCACGGCCGGGACTCCATCTGATCAATTTCCATTATTTTGGACCTCATAGGGGGCCTTATATTGGCTGAGAACGGCGTTTTTTAGATTGTTTTTATTGCTCGTCTATTTGGGTTAGTTGCTCATTTATTATGTATGCAGGACGAGAGCCGGAAATATTTTTTGCGCAAAGAATTAGTGTATCAACTCACCAAGGGCGGATTCATCAATTCTCTATCCAACGATGCCAAAACGAA